TATGAGGCATTAAATAGAATTAAATGAAATATTTTAATCTTGCAAGCACTTGCAAGATTAAAATATTTCATTTAATTCTATTTAACGCCTCATAGTCTGAAGTTTTGATTGTGAAAAATTAAGACATTTTAGTCTCTTCTATGTAATTTTTTTAAATGTCCTTAATTCCAGTTTCTCTTTAAAATAATTGAAATTTTGTATCATGACAATAATCTATTCCATATTCATCATCAATCAAATAAACTAGTACTTGTACAAACTAATATATTATCTTATAAAATTTCACAACACAAGATGTCATATTGATAAATTTTTACATTAAAACAAAATTAAAATTTTTAAGAATATCTGCTATAGGCTGTAAGTTATATCCCTGATCTGATTGGTTGTCAGAATATTACAATAATTTTATTATAATTTACATTTCTATAATATCAACATAATGTTCAATTTTATCAATGTTCATAGCTTGTTAAATCTGAAGAAATCTATTTAATTTTGAATGAAAGTACTTATTTTAATTAAAGATAATTACAATATCTTATGACTTATTCTTATATAATTTCTATTTTTGATTTTAAACATATTCTACATCATTTTAATCTGATATATATAAGGGCCCACCAGTGGCAAAGCGGTCTTCCTACCCTGAACACTGGGAGTTCAGTTATGGGTTTGTGCCTTGCTCAGATGGGCTGGCCACGTGGAGTTTTCCAGGTTTTCTCCATATCTATAATGCCTAAATAGAGGCCAGTTTCCTCTTAAAAAGACCTCCCAGAAGGCACCCCCTAGGCAGATCACCCACGTGTTGCATTGCCATAACTCAAACAAACCAAACCAAACCTTAATCTGACATATGAGTTGTAAGCTGTTGATGGTCCAGTATTTGGATGAAAATATTATTTTGAATTTTTAGAAAATGTTTGTAGCCAAATATTTGACCAAATTTTTTATTTCTGTTTATGTTTTGATTTTTTTAATTTTAAATTTAAAATAGTGGTTACCTGCACTAAGCAGTTTTTGTTTACTTGTTTAGTACATTAATAGTTTATGTCGAATTTATAATTTTCATTGAGAATATATTTTTTGGTAAGAATTGATTTTTATGAAATTCATACTTGTAGATTTTATTGATTTAAAACAATGATATCAACAGACACGTTATGCTTAAAATATACCCTAATAATAATAATAATAAAAAGATGGTTCATTTAAGCATTTATTCAAAATTCCTATAACAAATTTAATATATAAATTTNGGCATGAAATTATTAAATATTTTTAGAATAAAAAAAATTATTTGGAAAGATTAATTAACTCCTACAGAAATATTTCCATTCAAAATAGTCTTTGATACAAAAATGAATATTTTTAATATTCTCATTAATAAATAGCAAAATCATTCACCAATTAAATTTTAAAAAATTTAGGTATTGATTTATTCTACTTATTTTTAATGCTCATGAATGTCTGAATGTCTCTGCACGGATGTTGAGAATAAAGGTAAAATCTTTGCATTTAAATTATATTTTTAGGAGTAAATTTTTCTCTCTCTTAAACAAATTATATTTTTAATGTATTTTAAATAAATGTAATTACATAAAATCAATTTTTTAAAAGAAATAAATTTACAACAACCCAGTTAATCAAATTTTATGCATTAAATTTAGGCAGGAAAGACTGATATACAGGGGGAATACAGTTATCGTTGACAAATTATTAAGGATCGTATATAATTTTTTTAAATACCGAAGAAATGTGTATATAACGACAAATAAAACTGTGATTAAAGAGAACTTAAATATTAATTTGACAAAATATTTTGCAAAGCATCAGAAATTAATGCAATATCTAAATATTTCTTCTAACGAATACTACAAGTTCTTAATGTTCTTTAGAATGAGAAAGAGATGGAGAAGAGCAAAGATTTAAACAATTCCTCATAAGAATATACCTAAACTCACGTATCATCCAACTCTTACTAGCATTAATCTAATATGATGTAGCCAAGGAAGCATCATATTAGTTTAAATATGCATTTGAGTTAACACTAATATATGAAATCTACCGATTAAATCTCTCATGAATTAACATTGATTCTAGAAGAATTTAACTATTCATACACATGCACATAACTAGAATTGTAGTAGTAAGAATCAAATATCTTTCTACAAATTAAGACATTTTAAATAATGCTTATTAAATATAATTAATTTAATTTAATTTCTATCCTGTCCACCTATACAATCGTACAAATATGAATAACTGTCTTATGCTTAAATATATGCTATCAAGTAAGACGATTGGGATCGAAGTTTAGTAAGCAAAATTGTGCAAGACGACGACCAATGCAGTCGAATTTCATCTACACATTATTGATTGAACGTTTGGTGTGTGTGTATTGTACACACACTCAATGTGTACATTTATTGGAAGAAAGGAGGATGCAAAATATATTCAGCATCCGCAAGCAATTGATGAATGAATCAATCACGTGACTACAATGGCATGTTAGGCTTAGCGATTAAATAAAATTAAAGAAGAAAAAAAATTTTTAAAGCAAATTATAATTTATATTAATTTTATTATTTTTATTTAAAAATATTACCTGCTGTTTTAGTTAATTCAACGTTTTTTTTTTCTTATTAGGAGCCTGATTAGGAGATGCACCATGCAGCGGACCAGCTGCACACACACACAACCCGGAAGTGGATCAATGCCATCTGGTGATCGATAACTTTTACTATCCCCACGTGGTGGTGCCCTCTACCTCTGGTACGAGATTTACAGGTGAGTTGTGACGTAATAGTTATATACATGACGGGTAATTGACGATACTCTTACTTAGGCTAACTTCTGCTATGTGACGATGACTTCTGACTTCGAATTTCTATTCTTAGTACTTGTAACGAGAACCGTACGATCTAACAAAACGTTATAATATAACGGAAATTGAGATTTATAAATTACACGTCTATAAAATAAGCATAACCATAAATTTGGCGTACATCTCAGCAACTACTTGCTGATAAAAACACGGTAAAACTTAACATACAAGCAGAACATTCTATTCTTTATGTAACAAACAATTCAAAAGCAAAAATTTAATCTAAATTATGTCCAACCAATGTACTAAGCATTGTCGTAACTCTTGCCTCCTACAGAAGCTGCACAGTGATTTTTTATGCTGGTTATAACGTTACTTACCAGCTCTGTCGGGAGTAAAATTCATTCTTGAATAGCACCATCTTCCTGGAGTGTTCTTGGTAAAACTAACAAAATGTAACTCCTATCCACCACATGAACTATGGGATTTAAGTCCAGAGATCTTGCTAACCATTCCATGTGGTGAATATCTTCACTGTCAAGAAAGTATTAACAAGTGCAGTCCTTTGTGAACAGGCATTATCATCTGAAAATAAAATCTGTACAGTACCTGTAGCACCCTGAAGATTCACGTGGAATTTCCAAACCTTGTCTCTGTACGTTCTTTACTACAGAAAGAAGTAACAAATTCTACTTGATGGTTAAACTGCAACACAATGCCATGCTACCACCATATTTATAGTCTCCATATTTTTCATAAACTTGTGCTTTTTAAAGAAATATATGATTATGTTTTGATATTTTTACTGTGTGGAAATATTCACATAAATTTTTCACTGTATTTTTTTGCTCAATCTATGGATAGGACAATTGTGCTTCATTTTTGGACATGAGCATACAGACAATAGAATGGGTTCTTTGCTTCACTGTGTGTTGTTCTGATGTTTTTATTATTATTTGCTTAAATTATAAATATAACATAAAATATCAACACCACCATACAAATATAATATTATCTTACAAATGATCAAGTATTTAACTTTTAAGTCTTAATCATTTGTAAGATTACATTATATTTGTCCTAGTAATCTTTTATGAGACTTAAACAGTCAAACTGAAACTTAATGGAAAAGTATTGAAATGAAGTCTAGCCTGAAATATCTTAGTTTCCATCAACTAATTCTTGTCTTTTGGAAACATGGTTAGTGATCATTGTTAATTATTGTTGGTTATGCCAGAAGCAGTAATTTAGATGTAGGTGGAGGTGGTGCTAAACCGCAACTTAGAATTTGACTTAATTCTAATTTGGCCAAGATTATCTACGAATTAAGCAAAGCATATGAATCAATAGCATATATAATTGGGCTGCAATTTGAAAAAATTGTATACCCTAAATTCCCACTGTTGTCCATCCATCTTTCATGTATCTAACTCCATTCTTGAGATTAAGGAAAGACAAGACCAAATATGAAAACCTTAGGGCTGGAGAACCCAATTAACTGTATAAAAACATCCGATGCAAACTGGAAGTCACAATATTTCAATTCAAAACTTTCCCCTGAAAGCAGTTAATAGATGACTGGCACAACTCTATTGTTAAAGGAAAAGCATGATGTACAAGGGCAAGCCACTACTAATTTGAAGTGAAGAGCATATATTTTAAATTAAATAAATTAAAAATTGCAACCCAGAATTGTGATAATGTCACAAAAATAATGGCTCATTAATTTTTATATTCGTAAATATCATCAGAGAATTAAGTAGCTTTTAAGCTCAAAAGCTTTTAAGTAATTTTTTTTTACATGAATATTGGATGGCTGATGATAAACTTATATTTTGGATAAATTCACTTTATCTGTTTTCATGAGTGGTGTGTATGGATCAATATAATTTTAAAATTTCCTTTTTTAAATTTGTAAAAATTAAACAAACAAATTTTTTAAAAATTAAATTTATTAAAAATACAATCTAATCTATATTAATGAATCACCAACAAGGGAAAAATAATATATATCAATATTTTCCTTTTCAAAATTTTTAAAAATAAATTACTATTAGTCAAATGTTTTGATAACAAATTACAAAATAAATTTTGTTTTAGAAAAAATAACTATGTTGGAATGAATGTGTTATGATATAGGTCTTAATAATATAGACTAGAAATCAAAATATCATCACAGATTTAAAATTTGTTTTATTTACAAAAAAAGTGGTCAAAGTCTATTTGTCTACCACTTCCAATCTTCATCAAAACAAGAAGGCATTCCAAATAATATTGTCTTAAACAATATATGCCTGGACGGAAGTCACAGGAATTCACCTGCAACTAATAACAAGTATTGAACATGATAAATGAAAATAACCAATGTGGTTATTGTCATGGTCTGGAAGATTATATAAAAATGCATTCAATGTGATGTTAAAAATACAATGACAACTTGTATTACAAGTATAACATGAATATATGATGAAAAACTTCAAATTTACACGCGGATGCATTGATTTACGTATAGTCTTTCTTCTGTACTGACAACATTTGGCAAGGCAATTCAATTAAGAATTGTGCAAATGATATGTATATTTGTGAGATGTGTTGGAAACACACTATTTCTTCATCTTCTGAATTCCTCTATCCTGCCAATGACATCACTGACACTTTCTTCATTATCATAATCACAGTGAAGATAAATGATTTTTATTGAGTCTTGACGATGGGTCTCTACTACTTTCCAATGTTCAAATAACCTTTGAGCATTGCGTAATGGTTCTGCAGCAAAACTTTCTTCTAAATTAATTAAAAAAGATTTTTGTTATTACATGATAATGAATTATATACACTATCAATGATTTTTAAAAATTTCAAAATGTAATTATTTTGTAATATATATGTTATAGTTAGTTTATAGTTAAAAACAACCCTACTAACTCGAATATTTCATTTATTAAGACTTGTTTGATAAAACTTTAAGTATTTATAGTATATTTTAATTAAATTAACCAGTATTTTTGACATCAAATGTAATATTTTTCAGTTAAGAAACATCTTAACTTAGTAAACTGTAATAAATATATAAAATGTATATGAAATTGCAAACTGGAGAATATATAAACCCTAGATAAAGAAAAATGGAATCTAATAATAAATATTCAAAAGGAAATAATTTTATATATAATATTTAACAAAATTTTCTATTTAATAATGCTAAAAACTACAGGAGGATTCAAAATAAGTATATAAACACTGTTTCAATATATATAAATTTGAAAATTAATACTAAGTTATTTTTCAATATTAAAAATAAAATCAAGCAAATTTAAAATTAAAATTTTTTGGAATTTGCATTATATATAATTGAACTTATGAGATGACTATTATTGCTATATTTGAAATTTATACATCTGATTTATTCACTTTGTTTGAAAGGAAAGTTACATTTTATGTAGAAAGATATTTTGAGTTAAAACATAAGATTGATTACCTTTAAAAGTATCAAGATATTAATTTAAAAACTATATGATTGATCAAATACTTTCTCTAATAAAATTTTTATATTTGTGGTGTAGTAAACACTAGTATTGTGTTTTATTCCAAAGACACATGGCAAATTTTCCATCAAATTCCTTTATTAGTTGAGCCGAGAAATTTTTTAATTAATTTTTTATATTTGTTCTCTTCATATTGTTGATTGTATTTTATTTCTTCTTTATTTTCTAACAATCCTATCTTAGTGTTTGTCTTATATTTTTTCAGGGCTCGTTTTAATCTTCTAATTTTTACATATTTGTATTGTATCGCTGCTCTGAGAATTTTAAAGTTGATATAATTTCTTTCTCTCGTAGGTATAGCTTCTGCAAATGATTTTGGTAAATGAAAATGCAAAGAAGCCAACACCAAGATCACAGACAGGAAGAGAAAATACAAGGTGAGATAGAAAAACTTTCTATAGACTTGAAGTACCTAAAAACGCACCTCAATGAACGAACACTCCTTAAAACACTATCTTTACCAAAATCAATCGCAGAAGCTATACCTACGAGAGAAAGAAATTATATCAACTTTAAAATTCTCAGAGCAGCAATACAATACAAATATGTAAAAATTAGAAGATTAAAACGAGCCCTGAAAAAATATAAGACAAACACTAAGATAGGATTGTTAGAAAATAAAGAAGAAATAAAATACAATCAACAATATGAAGAGAACAAATATAAAAAATTAATTAAAAAATTTCTCGACTCAACTAATAAAGGAATTTGATGGAAAATTTGCCATGTGTCTTTGGAATAAAACACAATACTAGTGTTTACTATGCCACAAATATAAAACAGGACACTGTTTCAAAAAGAAAATCAAAATTTTTATACATATATCTCACAAAATAAATTTTCAAGTAAATATATTTTTAATTCAAAAGTATAGAATAGGATTTATTAAACAAAACCTATCTCTAGTGTCTACTTCAAATACTTTGTACAGTACAATTAAATAAATTTATTTTATAAAGCACTCCTCATTTACACACAAATTTAATAAGCAGTAAAACAAATCTAAACATTTTTGTTTAGATTTGTTTTACTCTTATTTCTCTCAAAATATTGCATTTAAAAAAAGTCAATGAGTTGCTTTCTAATATAATGTTAAAAGTTTATAAATTTCAAGATGCTTTAAATTTCTTCTTTTTTAACTTGCATAAAGGAGAATAGACTTGCAAAAGAAATTTTTACATGAAACAACCTTAACATTGTTTTGCATGAAAAATGTTTTTAGTGAATATAAACATCTTACAAAACCCGATACATTACAATAAAGCTGCACCAACTGCTGCATAATATCGGTCTATTTTAATTAAATTTAATATGAGTAAAATTAATCAATTCATAGTTATTATTGCCGATACATAGCCCGATATTATACAGCAGTTGGTTTAGTTTTATTTTTAGTGAACTATTAATAAACATTCTGGCAACTTGGTATTATCTTAAATTGCAATATTAAATAATGTTTAAACATATCTTATGCATTTAAGCCACTTATATACTTCTGTTATAATTACTTTTTGCAATTGTATAATTTTCAACTTTTAAATAAAATATTTAAATATGTTGTCATTTTATATACATACAACATTAAACCCAACATAAAATTATTTATACATAAAAATCAAGGTGTTTCTTTCAGAATGGGCAATTTTTTCAAAACTATATACAGTCCAGCAAATATTTACAGAAGATAAAATTTCTTCAATTTAATCATTTGAATGTAAAATTATTTTTAAATTATTATTGTTATCCTGTAGTTTTACTGATAAAAAAAAATTATCACAATGTTAACAACAGAATTATAAATCTAACTTTTTAGATCATGATCAAATTTTAATAATTGCAATGATTAATGAGTTTTGTCACTTAAAATATTTTTATATCACTAAAATCATTTATATAAAAGGTGTGGAAAATTAACTTTTTAAATTAAAGTAACATACAAGTTATGTAACTATGCTAAATTAATTTATTGTTATCCTGCATTTAACCTCAAAGCATTTAACATAGGATTTTTGAATATTTTCTCTGTGAAGTGGTATTTGTTGTATCTACACATTCTTACATTCTTGTAATCATTCTTAAAAGTTTCTGCAACAGTTCAGGAAGAATTGCTGCCACTTCAACTCTATCACAGTCCTTGAATTGTTCTCAGTGTGAGCTGTTGCCCATTCTTGTTGAAACCATATATCTGGATATTCAACATCACAATGGCACAACTCCAGTTCAAGAAAATTGTGAAGCACTTTGATGTAGTGAACTGAATATACTTTCACAGCCCAACCTTCATCTTCAAAGAAATTTGGAATGATTGATTCATAAGTTGCTACATTATACCAAAAAATAACCATAGCACTGTGAAGTATGCTCATGTAAATTATGAAGGTTCTCATAAAACACAATATATTTTTTGTTATTTTACACTAATTTTAGTTGTTCCTAAATGGATTTGAGTTAAAAAGCATCTTTGCTCAAGGTCAATTTCCTTACTCCTAAAAGTTTCAGTCAGAGCTGTATTTAAAAACTGTCAGGTTAATCTGCTGCACCCTACATTATAGACACTTGAAACTTTGATGTTAATAATTTTTTACTTTTTTAACATCTTTAGTGTGAATTAATAATAATTTAATAGTTTATGAAATGTCATATATCATGTTTAATCTTTAATCTTAGATTTTGTTTAAAATTATACGTAACTTAATGTCTGTTTGTGTATTTGTGTTTGAATCCAAACTATTATAATCTGTTCAATTTTTGAATTTCACCTGAAGTTGACAGAAATGAAAAGCTGTCAAAAGTACTTGAGAAATATTTAAATGTGTTAATTTTTAAGGTTATTAAATTCATTAACATAGCAAAACAAAGTTAATCATTGTCTATAATGTGTTTGAAGTTGATTGCCAAGATACAGTACTTCAATGTTTACAGTGGATAAAATCTACCAATTTTATAATAAAACTTGCTTAAATACTAAAAGTTAGAATTTATTTTGCCTATCATGTGAAGAAATTCTAGTGATAGGATAAAGGTCTAATAAACTAATGACAAATTAAATCAAATTATATTAGATTCTAAAAGTGAAATTATACAAGGTCTATCCAGAAAGTTTGTGAACTTTCTGGATAGACCTGGATAGAACCACTAATTTAGGAAGTTCACAAACTTTCTAAATTATGCACCAACCAATAATTGAATCTGAATGCAGCTTGCACAGATCTCTACTAGCAAGTTTTGTATACTATCTGCTAAAAACAGTTTGTTCTACCTTCATTTCTTGTGATGTTACATACATTTGTGTAAACACATGTTGATTGCATTTTGCAATATTCTTTCATTGAGTGCAAGTGAGTGAAGAGCTCTGGGATGGGTTTGGTCTGATGAAAATTTCATGAAAAACATCATTACTGGGGATGAGACATGGAATAATAGGTCAGTCATCATAATGGGTGGAAAAATCTTCACTGAGGCCCAAAAAGGCACTACAAGTACTACAAGTTTGGTCAAATGTGAAGGTCTTGTGCTCACTGTTTCATTCAATTCTGAAGGTGACCAGGAATTTCTTCTAGAAGGGAAGGCAATAAATAAGAAATACTATCTGGAGGTGATGAAATTTTTTTCATCACCTCCAGATAGTATTCCTTATTTCAAGTATTCCATTTTTCCAAGTAGTCTATCTTTTCTTCCTCACTTCTTCACAAAGAAGCGAGAAGAAAACATAGACTACTTGGAGAGAACAGCATAATGACATGCTTTACTCACACATCACTGCCAATAACAGTTTTTGGCCAAGAACTCAATGCCAATTGTTCTGCAACCTCCATATACACCAGACTAAACCCAAGCAGACATCTTTTTGTTTCCTGTTTGGAACCTGAAGCAGAGCCCAGGTGGGATTCGAAAATGTTTGTTTAGTGATCTTTTACGTGATCACATCGTAAATGGTTCTGGTACGTAACTTTTTGTTTCCTTTTGAGAGCAAATTAAAATTTGCTCTCAAAAGTCACTGTTTTGAATCCATTAATACCATAGCAGTAAATTCATTAGTAGAACTGTACCTTATCCAAAAATAAGTGTTTCATAGTGTGTTCCTTCCATATCAGAAATGCTGAATTAGGTGCATAGAATCAGGAGGAGACTACTTCAAAAGTGACAAAACTGTCTAACTTCTAAGGAAATGCAAACAACTTCTATTTGCAAAGTTTGCAAACTTTAACACCTTACATAAAAAGTCTTTTGTAATGTTATTTTTATTAATACCAAATAATGAAATTTGGTAAAATATTTCTCAAACTTCAATATCACTGATTATTTGTACTTAATTATGTAACTTATTAATTATTAAATCTGTACTTAATTATGAGATTTTTGATTTTAATCATAACAAAGTTAATTTATTTTTATGTTAATTTTCATTCTGAATCAATAAATGAGTAACAAAACTGCAGTCTCATTTCTGTGTACTAAATATTATTGAAATAATATGCATCAGAATTTGATAATTCTAAATCAATTGAAGAAATTGAAGTTAAAAAAAATTTTGTAAATCCTTAATTCAAAGTTTCTTAAAAAAAATGGCTGACAATTTTTACACGTTTACAAAAAATTTAAGACTTGGCTTGGATGTCACGCCAACAGTTAACTCAATCAAAACTTCAGACTATGAGGCATTAAATAGAATTAAATGAAATATTTTAATCTTGCAAGCACTTGCAAGATTAAAATATTTCATTTAATTCTATTTAACGCCTCATAGTCTGAAGTTTTGATTGTGAAAAATTAAGACATTTTAGTCTCTTCTATGTAATTTTTTTAAATGTCCTTAATTCCAGTTTCTCTTTAAAATAATTGAAATTTTGTATCATGACAATAATCTATTCCATATTCATCATCAATCAAATAAACTAGTACTTGTACAAACTAATATATTATCTTATAAAATTTCACAACACAAGATGTCATATTGATAAACTTTTACATTAAAACAAAATTAAAATTTTTAAGAATATCTGCTATAGGCTGTAAGTTATATCCCTGATCTGATTGGTTGTCAGAATATTACAATAATTTTATTATAATTTACATTTCTATAATATCAACATAATGTTCAATTTTATCAATGTTCATAGCTTGTTAAATCTGAAGAAATCTATTTAATTTTGAATGAAAGTACTTATTTTAATTAAAGATAATTACAATATCTTATGACTTATTCTTATATAATTTCTATTTTTGATTTTAAACATATTCTACATCATTTTAATCTGATATATATAAGGGCCCACCAGTGGCAAAGCGGTCTTCCTACCCTGAACACTGGGAGTTCAGTTATGGGTTTGTGCCTTGCTCAGATGGGCTGGCCACGTGGAGTTTTCCAGGTTTTCTCCATATCTATAATGCCTAAATAGAGGCCAGTTTCCTCTTAAAAAGACCTCCCAGAAGGCACCCCCTAGGCAGATCACCCACGTGTTGCATTGCCATAACTCAAACAAACCAAACCAAACCTTAATCTGACATATGAGTTGTAAGCTGTTGATGGTCCAGTATTTGGATGAAAATATTATTTTGAATTTTTAGAAAATGTTTGTAGCCAAATATTTGACCAAATTTTTTATTTCTGTTTATGTTTTGATTTTTTTAATTTTAAATTTAAAATAGTGGTTACCTGCACTAAGCAGTTTTTGTTTACTTGTTTAGTACATTAATAGTTTATGTCGAATTTATAATTTTCATTGAGAATATATTTTTTGGTAAGAATTGATTTTTATGAAATTCATACTTGTAGATTTTATTGATTTAAAACAATGATATCAACAGACACGTTATGCTTAAAATATACCCTAATAATAATAATAATAAAAAGATGGTTCATTTAAGCATTTATTCAAAATTCCTATAACAAATTTAATATATAAATTTTCGTATACAAGTACGTATCTTCTAATATCAGGACTTATTATACTGGCTTTAAAGATAATGCTACAGAGTTTCACAGAAAACAATTTTTTTATTTTATTTAATATAATTATTTTTAAATTTTTAAATTTTATTTAGTTATTTTATTTTTAAAAAAAAATTGTCTTCTGTGAAACTCTGTAGCATTATCTGTAAAGCCAGTATAATAAGTCCTGATATTAGAAGATATGTACTTGTAGACGAAAATTTATATTTTAGTAAGAAAAGGACATTAAGGCATTTTAATTAAATTTTAACATTTTCTTTATGGAAGTGGGATTAAGATAATAATATCAATAATAAATTATTATGTTGGGTTTAGCAGATTATACTCAGATGCCAGAGTAGAGTCAAGGCATAGCAACCAAAAACTAAAATTAAATAAGTGTGTCAAATTATTATTATCTTAATCCCACTTCTATCCCTAAGAAATCAAGAGAAAAGATGGCGATCAATCAAAGAAATAACCAGAGACAGACCATCCACAGTTCATTTACATGTTGCTATCCAAATCATATTTTTATGCATTAATATCACATTATTTTACTATAATATGAATAATAATATTTATTTTGTAAAGTTTTCCTAATATTTACAATTTTTTTAAACACACATTTTAGATGTTAAAAATAAACTACATAATGTTATATACATTAAATTTACATACCATATGATAAGAGACCTCGATGTAGCCTATCTTGTGCAGTTTTTTGCATATCTTCAAAAAATAATTTTTCTGTAGAAAAAAAAATTTATAATGATTTTAAATTAAAAAATAATAATAATTTAGGTAATTCATAAATTTAAAAATAATTACCTTCTTTTTGAGTATTAATTAGTTTTGTTAAAGAACATGCAGCTAACCAATAGGATTCTATGTATGGACTTAAAATACATCGATAAAACTGCAACATGTTAATGCATTCTTCTGTTAAGCAAACCTAAATTTTAAATAAATAATTTTGTATTTTAATTAAAATTTTAAAAAGTTATGTAAACTTTGCAAAAAACTTCAATAAATAAAATGCATTCACTACTTACTTGTAATTGTTCATCTCTTAAAGGAAGTTCATCATCATCATCATCATCATCATAGCTTTCATTCCATTCTAAAGTTACTGAACGATTAACCCAAGCTCGTTCTGTCTTTGTATCTATACCATAACCTACCATCTGAAAACAGAAAAGTCCAAGATCAAATTTCAATTTACATTATTTTGAAAAGTTTAAAAATATTTCAATTATTAATAAATTAATAATAAAAACCTTGTTAACTATTATTAAATTTTATTTTAAACAACTTTTTTGCTTGAAATTTTTGTGTTTTTGTGAATGAAATCTCAAAAAATTTATTAACTATTTCTATCATTTGAAATTTCTTTCTTACCCCCTTACTTCTCAGCAATTCTGATGTTACCATTCTATCTATAGTTTCATTCAGGAGTACTGTGAGACATGTACAGGGCTATAATAAATAATTCAAACATTAAAACAAAATTTTATAAATTACAAATAAATAAAGAAAGCAAACTGAAAAACTCACTGGAGTGAAAATAAATTCATATTGAAGAATATCACAGAGTTCTAAAGATTTTGATACTAATTTCTCACGAAAAACAATTAATTTACTTTCACAACCTCTCCATTGCTCAATTTCCTCATCCAACAAGGCAAATAATGCATTTACTAAAATAATTCAAAACAAACATTAAAAATTAAAAACAAAATAAAACTTAAAATCAAAATAAACTTACCAACAATGCTATCAAGTAAGAATATTGAAAGCAAGGAATTAGAATAATACTGCAATTCCAATACATAAGGCAACCTAATGACAGGTTTAAAGAAATATATTTTGACATTATTATTTGGCATGTCAAATGAAGACCATTCCATTTCAATTGTTTCTGTTGTGACAAGATCTTTTCCTAATAAGTTACATGCATGTTTGATTACATCAGCTGAATTGCCTGAGTACCCTACGTCTCTCTTTCTATTAATGATTTCTTCTTTTAGCCAATTTAAACTTTGAACAAGTTGATTTAATGTAGCTCCCTAGATAAATAAAATCAAATTAAAAACATACTTGATAATTTTATTTTGTATGACTGTATGATAATTTATTTTGATATTTTGAGAAAAAAATTAATAATTAACAATTAGGAATTATGAATTACCTTGCGATGTTTAGTTAGGAATAAGAATGACAATACATTAGTGCTCATTAAAGCTGTTGCATTTGAAGCATCTTAAAAAAAAAATACACATTTAAAATAATTTTATATATGTATATAATTAAACTTTGTTTCTAATATGTAGCCTTTGTATGTTGTGATGTATATATATCAACATACAAAAACTATATATTAGAGTAAAGTTTAAATCTCATCATATAATATATAGTTCTTTAAAGATTTGTTTTTATTATATAATTTCTATGATATACTTTAGAGGATAAGAGAGCATCACATTTTACTAAAGAGAAAAAAAATATATGTTAAGTATTCCTAAAATAATTTCTTTAAAAAAATAATTAAGTATTTAAATTTACAATATATTATAAAAATACATTAATATTTAATTAAAACAGAAGAAAAAGTACATTTAAAGACATTAGTAGTACAAAAGTTTATTAGTATAAGCATAAATATATTCAAAATATCCCTTATGTAAAAAAAATTCTATAAGAATTATTATCCATCATGATATATGTTAAAGTCTACTAATTTTAATTATAATTAAATATATGATGATATCAGATTGTTCTAAATTTAAATTCAACAGGTCAAAATTTTAACATTACAACCATTCTTCCATTTATTTTACTTCTTTTGGTCAACTTTTTAAATTATAAACTGTTAGTCTCAAGATATTTGATAAACTGTTTAAATAAATTACAGTCGCCCCCTATAACACTGTTGATAATTCTATTTTATATGAATTCCATGTTGTATGAGTCACTTAGATTTTACAAATATGTGAGCCATTCACAGCCTGGCACATGCATTTGTAAAATCTAAGTGACTCGTACAACATGGAATTCATATAAAATGGAATTATCAACAGTGTTATAGGGGGGGTCAACTGTATTATTAAATCATTTCTATGTAAGCTATACATAAATATAAATACTGCTTCAATAAAGTCAATTATCAGTTCTATAGCCATCCTCTAGTTAACTTTTGAAAGGGGAAATGTTTTGTTTACATTTGAATTACTATATATATTGAAAACTAGGATTGCTTACTACAAGTTTCAGTTACAGATTATATATTTTTAAAATAAAATATAAACAAGCATGATTCAAGTCATCATTTTAATGCTTTATCATCTAGATATTTTGTTTCTCTGATAATGATTTGCTTGATTAGAGAATTGTTATTAAAATATAATAATTGTTTATACATTAGAAGATTTCTAGAACTTATTTCATGAAAGACTGGTTGCTATATATTACATTAGCTACAATGAAAAGTAAAAATAATAAAATAATAATTGTTATTAAATTAATAAAAAAATTTTAATGAATGATTTAATTAAAAAAATAAAATTTAAGTTTGGAATTTGAACATTAGAATCAATCTTCAGAAATAACATATATAGATTTACTTCATATTTTAAATTGAAAATTTGAAAAATTTGTGACAGTTATATATTATTACAAAGTGAATATAATTATTACTTTTATAACAATTATATAATTCAAAAATACATTAATATTCTGTATACCATAAACAATGTGATCAGCAACATCTCTAATAACTTGTCTCATATCATCGACAACAACATCTGTTCCATAAAGTGAGGAATTACTGCTACTAGGACGAATTTTGTTGAAAGATGAAACTGGATTGAGACCCACATTCAGTTTTGGAGAAGAAGAACCATTGAAATGTTTGGAAGCATGCATAAATTCCTATTTTGCAAAGAAATTTATATAAATTGTATGAAAAATAAAATTTAAATTAGGTAAAAATTTAATATTAAAATTAAATTTTAAATACATTTAAAATTATTTTCATATCTATTTGATTCATACAAGAAATGATAAGATTTTCAATAAAAAAGTGAATATATATTCCACAATTGCAACTATTTACTAATAAACATCAGATCAAATTTTAAATATATTAAAATTTTTTAATAATAGTAAAACTAAAGTTTAAACCTTTAGAGAAAATGGTTGGCAGAAATCAACTCTAACACTTCCATAATTAGAATGTAAAACTTTCCAAATTGATCTTATAGCAGTAGAAAAATTTTCCATTACTTTTGATCTTCCCTACAATTATAAAATTTGAATTATATGTATATTTACTTGTAAAATACAAAATTTAACAACAATTTCAAGTTTAAACATTACCAATTGTTCCAAAATAAAATTTCCATCAAGTATTTTCTCATAACTTATTGCAACAGGAACAATATAAGCATCTTCAATACATCCTGTAATCATAATATAAAGTTTAAAATGCAAAATATTTATAATGCTATATATTAGATAAAAAAAATTAAATAACTTAAATCATACTCTGTATTTAAATTTCATATTATATTTAAACAAACTAACCATCAAGTAAAGAATCAATAACAACAGATAACAATCCAGCTTTTGGAAGACAAGATTTTCCAGTTCTTGATCTACCGCCTTCAATAAAAAATTCAATACTATGTCCTTCACGTAAACTTTCTGCCATATACTATGAACAAAATAAGTATATTTATTTTTAATGAACAAAAAATTTAAATCAATAAATGAAAAATATAAATAAAATTTACCGTATGAAGAATAGATCTATAAACAAAATCCTTCTTGCCATTTCTTAAATCAAGCTTACGCTTGATAAAGAATGCACCAAGATTTCTCAATAAATTTCTAAATAAATTTTATAAAATCAATAAAGAAAAATCTTTAAAATTTAATAAATTAATTAATAACAATATCAGAAAAATTGATAATTGAAAAATTACAAATAAAATTTACCCAAAAAAAGGAATCATCAAGTTATCACCTGCAGCAACTAATGGAATTCTAAGATCATTCATGTAGAGAATAAATGTCAATAAAATATAATCCAAATGACTTCGATGCAATGGCAAATAAATTATTGGAGTATTATTCTAAAAAATCTAAATGTTAGTTTATTTATAATTATTTTATTTGAAAGAAAAAATTAGATTTCATACCTTACTAATATGTTTCAAATTTTCTATTTGTCCTTTGTGAATCTGAATACTCTTCAGCATTCTGTTTAACAACTTGAACATAACCCAGCCTGATACTCTGATAAAATAATATATTTAGATATATATTTTAAAATTGAAAAATTAGTCTTGAGATTTGACAGCATAATTAAAAGAAACCTTAAATTTTTATTTTCTAATATAGTATGATACTGGGATCATATTGATTTTTTTAAAAAACAAAGTGTTTGTTTTTTAAAAAAAATTAAAAATTAAAAAAATTAAAAAAAAAATTAAAAATTTAAAAATTATTTTAACTTTGAACTGAATTATCTATAAATAGTAAGTACGTTTTCAATTATTATAAATAATGTGTTTATGTAAAAATTAATAATGCTACTATATTTCCTTCCATTAATAATTTAATATAATCTAATATGTTTAGAATTATAATTATTTTATTTCATACAAATGATCACTTTAATAGATTTTACTGTATTTCTCAAATCAGAATTATTTCAAGTTTTTAAGACTTCTTGTTTTTCACACTATTTATGATTTATATTAATTGATCCTTCATGAATTATATTAATAAAATTTTTTAATAAATCTAAAAAAAATTTTTTTTATTCTTTCCATCCTGTTGGCACTAAGAGAGCCTTTTAATCAAGCCCAGTGTGGATTTGGCCAGGCCTACATTGGAGTGATTGGGTGGTGAGGGATATCCAAAAATGGACCATCCTCAAAAAATTCCTGGGCTTTTTCAACCTGTTTGGATTCATTACTAGGTCCCAGAGTGGTGGGACAACACCATAACTATTCAGCCATCTAACTGTCCTTAAAAATGCTTAAATACAGTGCTTCAACTTCAAGAGCACATTATTTAAAATATATTTCTGAATTTTGATATTGAAATTAATGAAATGTATTTATAAAAATGTACTTGAGAATAAATTTTTAAAAACTAAAAATTAAACAGCATACCATGATAGAATTTGCCATGGTAGAAAAATTTCTCAAATGATGCCAATTTTTATATAATATTAATTTATATATTTTTCAGTATAAACAATACATAATTAATATTTATTAACTGTTAATTTATTGGTTGTATAATATTCTGAAATATTACTCACTTAAGTAAGAAGGTTGATATGGCAGATTTCATTTGCATTAATATTTGCTTAGCTCTTAATCTGTGTTTATAATAGAGCACAGATAACTCCACTTCACTCAATTCTTCCTCTATAAATAAAAAGCAGTCTAGTGTGAATAGAAAATCGTTATATATTTCATATTAACACATATGTTAATATTTTATTACAAACACTAACCATTGAATCCTTTTTTTTTTTTTCTTAATATGATTTATGCGCAAATATTAAACTATGTAAAGTATTATATAAAATCTCATTTTTAGACTTTAAAACGATTACTATAACAACTTTAATATGTAACTAATGAAAAAATATTATGTTTAGATACATAATTTAAAGAAAATGTGCAAAATTTAATATAATTGAAATTGATATAACAATAACTTAAATAATCTAAGGAAAATAAATAGAAAATGTGATGTTAATAAATAAATGAAGACAATTAAATTTGACATAATGACAATTTAAAATGACATAAAGATGGGAATTTTTAGATGTAAAAGTTGAGAACTATTCAATTCTAATAAGTTCTCATTGTTCCTAAAAATTCACGCTAAAATACTAAAAATTTTCAAATGTAATCCTTATGAGCTCATATGGCAGCAAACAAACCAATGTGAAAACCAACAATTAGTGTCTCATTTTTCCATTAGAATTTCTAATTGCATTACAGTAATACAATGACTAAGTCATTCTGTGATCTGACTTCTCAAAGAATTTTAATATTCCAATTAATCATAAACTTCAATCTCTATAATTACTAACATTCTAATTAACTTGTTCTAAAATACTCAGTACTAACTGCTCTGAACAAGGTAAATATACAGCATATTTTATTCTCATTGTTTTCAATGAATTACATTTGTTGCTTGTTCTCAAGCAATTTCTCAAGAATTGAATGAGTTTCCTAGAATTCCTAGGAAACTCATTCAATTCTTGGAAGTTCTAAATTTTACTTGTGGTTGACTTTATTCCAAGAAAGACTAATAATAACAACAATGTGTCCATATGTCCCCTCATCACATGGACCTTTGCTTCTCTGAAAAGATTCCAAACTTGGTCACCATAGAACAAGACAAATTATATTTCAAGAGCAAGCTCTCAAAATACAGTTTGTCTTGTTCTGGAGACCATCGTCATACCTGGAGACAATTACATTTGTTTGCCCATAAGTGGAATCTTAATTTTTCACTTTATTCAGATCACATTACATTCTTCATATCCAAAATCCTCTTCTGTTTGTGCATTGAATGGTCTCTAGCTTATAATAAAATTTAACATAGAAAATTGCTTCATTCAAAAGATTTTACCTGTTTTATTCTGGTTCTGTTTTAGGCAGGTTTTAATGTATAAATTTAAATATTTTATTTAATTTCTCCTATTTTCTCCTATTACTCTTTCTTTTTTATTTAATTTTTGTACTATTATATTTGGTCATTTAAATTGGTCATTTTAATAAACTTTATACTAATGAAAAACTAAAAGAATATTTTAAAAATTAAATTTTCTGCACTTTCTATATAGTTTCTATTCATTAAGTAAAATTTTCTAAAAGAAAGAAATTTTATCAGGAAAAAAATTTGCTTTAGATGTTTTTGATTATATTGATAAATATCAGTATATTTTATATTAATTTTAATTGATATTTTAATATTTTATTTAAAATATTTAAAAAGTTTATATATTTAAAAATTTAACACATTACAAAATAAAGGAATATAATATTTACCATCTTTCTCATCTCTTGCTGCCTTTTCTATAGCTTTCTGCACTCTAAAAAAAAATTTTTTTTTGAAATTTCTATTATTTATATTTTTATAAAAGTTATAATTTGAATATAATTTTTATTTTTGTTACCTTCCATGATCTAACACATTTTCTGAGCTATCACTATATGTAAAACAATGACGTCTTTGAAGAACAAAGGAAACATGATGAAATATTCTAACAAGTAAGTTATTTCCCCTAAAATTTAAGCATTTTTATTGCATTAATAAGAAAAAAATTCTATAAAATAATTTTAATGTAATATTAAAAAATTTTACTAACCTATTTTGTGTTGGAACATCTAAAATATTTGAGATGCTTAATAAAGTTGAATTGTTACTCATAGAAGTTAACTACAAAACAATAAAATTAAAAAATTATTAATTACTTGTTAATTTTCCTCATTTATTAATTATAGTGATTTAGTACTTGATGTAAACAAAGGAATAAAGATAATATTGAACTTATAATTTTATATAAATATTTACGAGAAGTTTAGCAATTATCACACTTTTTAACAAATAGTTTTTTAAATTGACTTTTAAGATTATAATATGACATACACTACTAATTGGTAAACACTTGGGACAACATCTTCCAACAAATGGCCGGGGACATGTATTTTCCAGTAAGACGGTAGGAGACATCTTGAATTGGGCCAAACCATTCAATTTAGGCTGTGAATAGGAACACAGAGTATAATTATAAATAGAATCAGCAATTCAAAGTATAATGGTCATCCTATTTTTAAACTAGTGAGCAATGCAACTATAAAGCTAAGCTTAAATTTATTATTAAAATTTACTATTTTTTTTTATTTAACAAGTGCTTTAATAACAATAAAAATCATTAATTGATATAATAAAACTTTACATATCAAGTATTGGAAATTTACATACATTTATTTTATATATTTAAATAAATGCATAATGAAAAATTTATAATCAACAACTGTTTAAATATACTCTTATTAGACTTTTTCAAACATATATTTGAAAATTAATAATAATAAACTTACAAGATCAAATGTGACTGATCTGATATTTTGTCGCATATGTAAATTTGATGCAGTTCTTTTTGTTGACACTTCTGAAATTTCCTGCTTTGGATTTTCCTTTTCATTTCTATGAACAACTTTTTCATCTTTGCAATTTTCTTTATCAGTTGATAAAAATATTGGTTTTTCTTGATTATCCCATTTAGCATAAACATCTTTCAGATATTGGCCAATTTCACCCATGGCTGCCCTTAAAATTAAAATATACAATACAATTATAAATTAAAAAATCTTTTTTACTAATCAAATAGAAATAAGTAATATCTTACTGAAATTAATAATACTGCAAATAAAAAAAAAAACATGAAAATTTTCCTTATTTCATTCCAGATAACTTACATGGTTAAATTTATAAACAATTTTCAAATTATTGTTTTACTAAAAACTAAATTATTTGCAAATGCTTTATACTATATAATTTTTTAGAATATATAACTTCACTAAATTCTTAATCCGTAAGTCAAATACAAAATATCAATGAATAAACAGTGAATAAAATCACTATTTGAACTTGAAGATTAATCTTATAAAATTAAATACATTTTTATTTAACATTTAATTAATCACAGAATATACCTTAAATTCAATACAATACAAAATTCAAAAATTATATAAATTCTGTTAGAGATTTTTGGATAATTAAAATACAATATACAGTTAGAATAGAATCTTGTTTTAATGGACCAAGGAACAACAGATTTTTTCCCCAGGTCCTACCAAATCAAAGTAATTTTACCTCCTTTTAGCAGATCTGAACTTGGAATAATGGATGTTTCTTTTTAGCCCCGTCAAACTATAAACATCAAGTTTTTCAACATTTAATGTTTGGGTGTTTTCTGGTACTGAATTTTAAAAAGTACATTCACACAGAGCAAAATATGGTATAAAAAGTTGGAATTGTCAATTATTAGTGTGTTCCTTATATGATTTGTTCTCTTCAACAAAATTTATGCTTATCACTAAAGAAAAATATGTGCATAATTGTCACAACTCATGTTGCTTAACACTGCAGCCACACATCAGGGCACTCCTGATTAGTGGCAGGAAGCTACTTCTGGTTCAAAAGTAGGGCCAAAATTTAGCAAGGTCATTGAGTTTTCCAAGTTGTGAAGACCTTCCTGACAAATTTTAGCATAACAAACAAGGCTGTACATGACATTGCTGATGCAATTGTATTCAATAGGCAGAAAAGCAGCATCAAAACAAACCAAGATGGACGAACTTTTTTTAACAAATCATGAAGTCAAGTGAAGTGCTAATGAGCATACATACTTTGCCTCTTTTTGTGCATAAAGCATATACAGTTTATGTCAGCTTTGTTATACATACATACAGCATAATATACAATCTTGTAACATATGTGTCTCAATGGAATAAAGAATAGAGATCTAAAGAATCTAAATAATTTCAAGTATAGGTATTTCTTATATGTAGGGAGTTAATATATGAAAATTTTTTTGAACAACAGATATTTTGGGCATGCAGGAAAAACATTGTTTTTGATTTAACAGTGAAATTAACACCTATATACAATTTCTAGCAAATAACTATAATGTTCTAACATTTTCAGCCACACTTTAGAGGCCCTCATCAGGAAATAAAACCCACATTGAATGCTCTAGAACTTTTGTTTCCAGTCATTTCTATAAAAAATCAAAATGTCTAAACTTCACCTTTGCAACCAGATAAAAGTAACATTTTTTAACAAATATAAAATTTATCTATCTATACAAAATACAAAAAGGCAATGAATGCCAAGTAGGCAAATAGATCTTTCTGAAGTAACAACAAGATAGCCCCAACAAAAAAAAGAAAAATCATAAATAAAATGAAACATGAAAATGATAATGATAAGAATGAACTATCAAAAAATCTTATGATTATGAGCCTGAATCTTGAAAGATCCTGTGGAAAAATGTTATATGCAGTTTGCAATTAATGTAGTATTGTTGTTGGATTGTTTTATGTAAGTACAGATATCTAGTATTTCCATTAGTTTTATATTTGTGCCTGCATTTACATGCATAATTTCTTAATTTTCTTAATAGAGGATTATTTTTTCCATTTAAGTTTATCTTCTTAAATTTTAGGAATTTGTCAATGGCATATTAAAAGGATTAATAGATGAAGTTTACTTTTTTTTTATTATTATTATCATTTATTTTATTTAACATAAAATATATGATTCTACAAAATAGCTATTTTTTCCTTTTCATTTTTCAAGGAAAATGTAGCTATCTATATATTTAATCATTAAAGGTCTGTTATAAAAGAATTAGAAATAAATAAAGTTGTTTAACTATCATTATCAGATTTAAATATAATATATATTCTTATACTGAAATAAATAAAAAATTTCTTATAAAGATTTCAAATTATATTTTAAAAATATACATAAATTTAATGCTGTCATGTTGGAATAATTCACAAGTATGAAATATTTTCAATTAAACTATCAATAATAATATTTCAATTCTGATAAAAATTTGTTCATAAAAATTTTGATCAGAGTGATTGATATAGAAAAATTTAATTTATATATGCTGTTTTTTTTTTTTTTAAATTGGATAAATTTTTATGGATGCTCTGTTGTATGGAAAATTATCTAAACTACATGAATCATTTCTTGTAATTTAGATAAATTAAACATATGTTAATTAATAAATAATTAAAAAAAATGATAGTTTATTAGTATTCAAAATATCTTTTGAATCATGAAACATTTTATCAGTTAAGTTTCCATTAAAATAATCTAAAATGTTTAGAACAAAAAGACTTTTTAAACAAAATATTATAGTATTTTTTAATTAATATTACTTTATAGTTTTTAAAACATAAAAACATTTTATTGAAATTTTATTTATATTTCAATTTATATAAATAAAATGATGTACAGTATTGATTATTCACTGATTCATATTTTAATATTTAAATTTAATCATTGCTATCTATATGATTACAATATTCAGTATATTGTGATACATTTATCTAAAAAATTACAAAATTACCATTAATTATATGAACTTTATAATATCATTAACACATGGAAAAATAAACTTAATAAATTTATATTTGTTATATATGAAATTCATACTTTATAAATGTTATAATTACATTTACAAATATTAATTATTGAAAAAATAAATATTTTATATACTGAATGTAAGTTTTTTAAATTGAAAATATTAATTAAATATAATAATTTAAAAATTTGAGCCATGTTCAATTTAAAAAACTTACTTTAAAAATTTTCATTACATCAGATTAGTCCTCTATTATACTTCAATAAATTAAATAAAATTTAAAATATAATGAAGAGACTATTTCTTTAAAAATAGTTTTGGGTGGTTTCTAATGTCAAAAACAAGTACAGTATGTACATTTAAAACTTGATATAAGAATTATTAATTTATTTATTAATACATTTTATTTAATCCACAATTTTTAAAATTATTATTTCAATGATGTCTTAGTAAAAAATAGCATAAAAATTATTAAGTTGACATTAAATAAAAATTTAGACTTCTTATTTATTTCATACCAAAATTTTATTAAATATTTTAGTCATTATTTTAATTTAAAAATAATTCAATAATAAAGTTAAAGTTAATTATAAATTTTTCTAATATTTTATTTCCTAATAACATATCACATCACAAATTCCATGCTAATCTTATATAGATTTTCTTTTGTTACACATATTAAAAAATTTTCAACCTTGACCTTGGTAAAAGGAAGAAATTAATATGTCCGCTGTTGCCTGAAGGTCACATTAAGATAGAATCTAAACACAGACAGTTGGCACTTTGACCCAACTTGTCAATTAAAGATAAACTCTCTTGATTAAAGATCTCTTTTTGACCCTTCTCCACATGATAATTTATCAATCTGTTGATATACCTGCTTGTCACAAGTGCTTTTTATAGAACTAACAGATTTAGATTTTTTTATTTTTATATGATAAGAAAAATTTGCAATTTAGGTCTCAAACAATGGAATCATACATATCTATTTGGAATATCATTAATATGTAAAAAATTAATAAAAATTTAAATTCCTGAATTTCATAATAACAATTATAATAATACTTTTGAAATCTAAAATTAACGTAACAACATAACAAATTTTAATATTTTAGTTAAGTAATATGACACATTTATAACATTTCAAATTTTATAATTATCTAAATAACCATGACTGATATTTCATATCATATTCATAGCAACAAAATACACCCATATTTATAAGTATAAATTGCCATTTAATATACTTTGACTGAACATTATTAAATTGTTTTAAAAAATTAAATACTGAACATAAGTTTTCTAATTCATAAATATGTAATTTGAAAGTCATTAAACATTTTAAAAAAAGATGAATTTTAGAATTTAATATACAAAAACAAATAAATAACGAATACAAAGAATAATACACTTAAAACCTCTGAACAACAGCCAGTAACGGAAACAAAACATAGATGTCGTTCAGAAGTTATTTTGTTTGCATTTCAAAACAAAACGTTCCTAAAAAATTAGCTGCCATTTAGAAATTTTTTTGAAATAATAGAAACAGTTTTATAATGGTTAATATATTTTTAATTATTAATGATGCCATTTTTAACTGATTAATTAATGAAGCCATTTTTATTCATTTAAAAATTTTAAGTCTGATTTTGTAAATGTTAAAAGTAATAAGTCTGTAAATACCAGTACAACACACTTTCAAAACTTTTCAAGAAGTCAAAAAGACTTCTTGAAGCAATAGTAATATTGAAATATGAAGACGTTGTTGCCTTGTTTAGGTTATCTAAATTTGTGCAATTAATAGGCTAATTAATATACAAGTACAGTAGAGCGTCGATTATCCGAATCAATTGGGGACTGGGGTTGTTCGGAAGATCGGTGTTTCGGATAACCGATTATGTACGAAAAAATATAATTTATCCCATGATAAAATTTTTCTCCGTTGCGTGTCGCTTCGCGTTGAATTTTCGTCGATGTTATGCCTAACGAAGACTATTGTATCGTTAAAAATTATTTTTTTATTTTGTACGAACAAAATAAATATATTGAAAAATATAAAAACAATAAAAAATTATACTTCAGAAGTTAATTTAGTATAAAAAACGTAAAATATTTCAGCAGCCCAAGACATAGCCAAAGATTGCAGCGCCACAGCACTGGCAAAAATTTAAATTTGCCGACTGGAATTCTTTCGGATGATTGACTTTCGGATAATCGACGCTCTACTGTATTTGTATTATATTAATAAATTCATTATTCTGTATTTTATATTAAGTTTTATCAAATGAACTAATACAGTAAATAAATAAATCAAGACCAGATTACTTCATTTTTTCAATGTAAAATATTCATTTTATGCCTAATGGTCATTGCAAATTTTACAGTACTGTATCTACTATTTTTATAGATGAAATGAACTTAATGACATTTTTTAAAATCATATAATTCAATAGATAACTAATCAAAAAATTAATAAATATATTGATGAAAACGCAATTATCCGACTGATGCTATCAATTACCAATCAATGGTTAATGTCAAAAAAATTTTGAATTTTACTGATTTGATAATTTATCAAAATTGTATTTAAACATATTTGTAATTTTTAATGAAGAAATTTAAAAAACAATAACCTTTCACACTTTAATAGTCAAGCTTATAGAACATCTGTGTCAATTCGGTAATTTTATTTGATGTACAGTACACTTTCTATCTTTCTGAAGCAAATCACTATTAACTTAGTGATTTTCTTCAGAAAAAGTCTAGAATAAAGTCAAGCATACTCTATAAAAGAGACCCTACCATTTATACACTTCTAATAAATTACAAACTTCAAATGTTTATTAATTAATAAGAGTAGTTTTTTAAAGTTAAAGGAAATACTATTATGAAAATCGAAATTTAAAAAAAAAATCTTTAATTTTGTATTTGAACATGAACATTCGTTAATTTTGGAAAACTGTTCAAAGATTTTTCAAAGTGTTAATTAAGATTTACATAAGAAGAAATGTTAATTTTATTTGTACTCAAAACCATTACATTAAAGTAAATAAATATTGCAGTTAACACGTTTAACACAAAAGTTAAACGCGTAAAAAAGTTATCAAAGATACAGTCATGTAAGATATTTTTTAAGATTTATCGTTATATTTCTGTAAATGCGAATGAAATGTTACGTTTTTAAGTGATAACTCAATTTTTCGAGAAAATGCATCAGTGGACCGTCCTTGAATTTATCAAAACTGATTAAGTTAATGTCAGATCGATGCAATTTCAGAAATACTTCAACTAAAAAAAATTTTGCTGATATGTTCATTTTACCCAGTTCTGAATTATCTCAACTATCCCATAGATATGGTGTTGAAATACTTTATATTTACAGAATTTTCTTTCTGTCTGTTTCATTTATATTTAAATTCAAGAAAGTAAAACATTTAAATACTACACAAAATATTTTTTTTACAAAATATCAACTTATAAAAGTCTCTGCCTTTTTGAAAGTATATTTTTTGGACTGTTGAAATTTCTTAGAGTTGCAAAATGCATCATCATCTACTGACTTATCACTTATAAACAATTTAAATCTTGCTTTTCTATACAAAACACTTCATAAAAAAACACTTTAATAAGATTTTTTAAAGATTTTTATCGCTATGAAATAGCATAAACATTTAAAAAAGATCATAATAAAAGTTCACAAGATAAATTTTTGCTAATCATGACAAAAAACTGCTCTATTTTTATTGCTTCAAGTCAGTGCTATTCTATTGGAGGACCAGATTGATAACTAAAGGAATTTTTTTTTTAGTTTTAAATATTTTCATAAAAAAATAACTGTTTTTTTCATTGTTTATTACATTACTGTATAACACTTAATTTTAACTTCTAAATGGAACAGGACAGAGACATATTTGTTTTCTTAACATACAAATAGATTTTTCCTATGATATGCTTTGTTGTATAGTCGTCATTTTAAAAGAAATTGTAATTCTTACAAAAGTTGAAATTTTTAATATTTTTAATTTATATAAACAATTACTGTATAGCAAAATTTTACTATATTTAAAAACGTAATGTCTCACATAAAATGCAAAAAACAGTTAATTAACATTAAAAATTGATTTGTACACAAAATCATCTTTTAATTTTTGATTTTTTTAATTTTTTAAATTTATTTTTATATATAGCTCGTGACTTTAATGTTAAAAAATAAATAAAAACAATTTAGAACGAATAGAAGGTGTCCTATATTTTTACGAAACAGCTTTTACTGTCGAAAGATAATTTTTTTCCTAAATTTAAGTTAATGTAATAAAATAGGTTGATTCGTTTATTTCCGGATACTTATAAATTAAAATTTTCTATTCTTGTTGTTAATTATTATTATACGACTTGATATAAAAATCTATAATTGGAAGATAGAGATAAAACTATGACACAGAGTGCATTGCTGTCGTAGACGCTCCCCTTTGAAGCATACTTTACTCTTTAAACTGAACAATCAAGAATACAGGTAATAGACGATAGATAATAAATAAAGCACTATCTTAATCATAGTTTATCAATATTAACTTCGATAGGAATATCTGTATGGGGAGCAGTGACCGGAGTTTCGATCAAGGACAACAATTATGAACGGGTAGTTTCATTTCCCTCATTTAATAAAAATCGTATGCTATGCAGCGATGAACTACATAATATTTTAATAAGTAAAAACTAGTACAGCAACGTGTTCTTCAATAATAATACGGTCAGTAAGTAACGTGTTACGATTTTATTAGCCATAAAACAACAAGTTACTGTTCGGTGATAATTTTTTAGAACTATAAATAAATCTTGCAATTATTATATAGTTTATTAATTTATGTAGTGTTAAAATGTGAAAAAATAAATTATTTTTATAAGTTCTGCAGAAGAAAAAAACTCGACATCAATGATCTATATAAAATAATCTTATAAAAATGAAAAATATAAAAGTTAAATTCACTTGAACTATTTCTAGGAAAAAAAGAATCTAAAAATTCACTAAAATAATTAAAAATTAATTTGTAAAATTAAATATATTAAAGAATCTAATATAAAAAAATTTAATTAGATTTATAAAAGTAAATAATAAAATAATTACAAATTATATACATTTTTATAATTTATGATCAAAAATATTCTTACACAAATTATGAAATATATTTATGCAATTTTCGGTCAAGGATACGTTTCTGCGAGGGGAAAAAGAAAAAAAAGTCAAAATTTGTATTAAGTGTGATAAATTTGACCACCTTTCCGTATCAATGATATAGAAGTTACAACTGATAAATTACAAAACAGTCAATTAATTAATATATTTTAAGTAACTACTTGTGTAATTTACTTCAGCATCCACTCCACTCAGATAAGAAAAACTTTACTTAGTAATAAGATTTTAATTCAACTTTAGATAATATGTTTTTTAGAAAATATAATATGTTTAACTCTATTTTTAATTTTTTTAAAATGTATGTAAATATAAATTAACTTGAAAAAACATTTTTCATATAATAATTGTGTGACAAACAAGAACTAGTTTTACAAAATTTTCAGACTATAAAATGACACAATAATTCATACCATGTTACCCAATCGCTCCATTCCATTCAATACTCTAACATAAAAACAATTTAAATTTTTATTTAAAAAAATTACTTCTCTTTAAAAAACTTAATTACTAGTAATTATTAAAAAACAACCTTAAGAAATTTTTGAGATAAAATATAAAAAATAAAATGTACTAAATGCGGGACTTACTTGATGGTAACGAAGAGGGAAGCGAAGAAGATAAAGAGAGACATCATGTTTAAACAAGGAAGATGTGAAGTACGCGACTGATCTTAGCTTCGTAAAACTAGCATTTTAACCTGAATATCACCGAATAATCGTATACCTTCATTGATTGGCCGACTAATCGATGACGTTGGCAATGATAACCACGTGCTAGATCAAAGTTCTTCCGGTTTATGAAATATTTCCCGGTTTATTGTAACCATATGAATAATCTATATTCTCAACGTGAAAAATAGCATGCTCAAATTTATGTAATCCAACAGTAGGTTCATACAATAAATTTTTTAAAAAATTAAAAAAAAGGACGAAAACAATAGATTTTTTTAATACGTGTTTTCTAGAGGATAGTAAGATTATAAAACACGACCTAATTTTTCTTTTTAACTTTTTTTTATAAACTGATCTATTTTATCAAATTTTTATACCTCTTAAACCTGTGAGAAATTGATAAGAAGTGCCACAGTTCAATTGCTGTGCCACACACACAAAAGAGAAAGTGTTATTAATAGTAATTTTTGTTAGAACAATAATATCTATTTATTAGCAATTTTAATATATAATATATACAAATTCAAGCTGACAAATTTTACAATATTTACATTGTAAATGTGATATAGTATTATACAACTTAATTTATTCTTTAAACAATTGTTGATTCAAGAAAATTACTGATTTTCGGTTAAAGGAAAATATTTATAAATCTAAATAACTACAATTCGAAAATCTATTAAATACAGACATTTAAACAGTAGAAAGTGCAAATTTTACATTTAAACCCATAAAATCCTTTGATATTTAATAAATGCATTTTTAAAGAATACAAAAATGATAGAAATAAATCTGAATACAGTACTATTTTTTTTTAAATACAGTTAATTTCAACAAAATGGTGTTCTTTTAACCAGCTGTTTATTTCTTTGCTTTCAATGGCATCTCTGATGAAAGTTCTCGCATGTTCATACCGTAACGAAACTCTCACTCTTCTTTATGCAAATAAAATGTATGTGTGTTCAACTGTAAAGTACTAAACTGTATAATAATTCTGGAAGGAAACGTCAAATAAAGGAATTCCATAGAAGTGTATCACCGCCTGATCTGAGTTTTAAACGCTTTATTTATTTATTTATTTGCAATCATTTCGTTACACGTTTCAGCTGCAAGCCCTCCTCGGGCTACAAAAAACTAAGCGCAAAAAAATAATCAAAATAAAGCTATGAAAACTGACTGGAAATCTTTTGGCAAAACTACACTTTTACAAAATCCATTTATTTTGTGTATCTTTATGGTAGTAGAAAACAAAAAAAAAGCATTAATTTTGCTTTTCAAAAGAGTTTAATGTAGACGAAAATGCTTTCTAAGAGATATTAAAATATTCATTTGAATATATCCTGGTAGTTTGAATAATCTTACAATATTAATCGCTACTTGTTGAAAATATTTATCACTTCTTTCATGACATTATCAAAAGGATAAAATAAAAAGTTGTGTATTTTAATAACTTAAGAAATTTAGTAACAATTTCTCTTTTAAGTGTTCTTAATTGTACTATTCTCTCGAATAAATTAAAAATTTTTAACCAAAAACTAAAATCAGACATTTAGACTAATGTTTATCAATTTTACTTTTTACTTACGCGATCGGTGGATCGCGACCCACTGACTGAGAAACAGTAATTTAACTTATTTCGAGATATCGAATCACACAATTATCCACAATAACTGTAGTTCAGCATTAAATGTTTGAAATTAAACTAAAAATAAAATTACATGAAACTATAGTCTAACTTACAAAGAGTTTTCTATCTCTTGCGTTTTATGCCTCAAGCACTTTTTTTTTTTTACAAAAATTATTTCTTCAGATCGATACACTTCAGTTATTTTTAGTCATTTTCAATCATTCTGAAATCAAATAGCGATTTTAGTGTGTACGTCCTCGTAATATTGCATGAGACCTTAAAAATATAAATTTTCTTTCACTGGCGAATCAATGGATTGACTTCAACATTAATGTAAAAACTGTATATTTTAATATCAAAAAAATTGAAAAAAGAAATTATTTTCCTTAATAAATTTATATAAAAACATCAAAAAATTGCTCGACTTTTGTTTTAAACGTTAATATTTAAACACGAATTAGTAATATCGTCTACAGAAAAACTTAATATAATTCCGTTTATTGCATGCTAATTACAATTAAAAATAATTGAGATTTATTTTAAAGCGTATTCAAAATCCAAATATTTTGAAATCAAATCAGTAGCGCGTGACGGGCGTCACATAACACACTTTTTTTGTTAAAAGAGACGATATGATAAAGCAGATAAATTTGTAAAAATAAGGAAAAGTCTACTTTAAATAAATCTTATTTTTATACGGAAAAAAAACGTTCATTTTCGTTTGATAAGTTCTATATTAATTTTTTAAAATTATTTAATATGTTTTATAATTATGGTAAACATAAATTTGACCGAATTTCATCTATTTACATTAGTATTTATATATATAACAGGTGGATTGAAAATAAAATTTACTTAAAAATCAATTGAAAATTGTGTGTAATAAAATACATCGGATAAAAAATGAACAAAATTCGCATTTACATTATTTTTTATTGTAGAAAATCCAAATAAAATAATAATAATAATTTTGAAAATTATGATCTATCATGTAACAAATTTAAAATTCGTTTTTTTTTATTTAAAAAAAATTAATTTTAATCCAAGTTAAATTTACTAAATTTTTAAAAATATGTTTTTGAATCTATGTAAACCAAAATGATTCGAAAATATAAGAGATAAAAAGGAGGATGAGTTCAAATTCCTTTATGTTAATTTCATTTATCAGCGTAATAATTATAAATAAAATTTGAGTTTCAGAAAAAATCAAATGATAATTTGTGTAATTTAATTCACAAATTCTGATCTAATTCCTTTTCATCTCCCGTAAACAGATTTTGTAATTCTAATACCGATGAAATATATAGGTATAAATTTGAGTATCTTGGATGTTTTTAGAAATTTTGCAGAAAAAATTATCCATTTAAATGGATAATATAACTCAAAATCCATGGATACAGATGTTTCTATAGATGGTAACACATGTAAATAATGTACCTTATATTTAACTTCTAATCGAAGAAAGATGATTAAACGCATGTAATTAAAGATTACACATTCCTTGACATCTAATCATCTTTCTTTTTTAAGCTTTATTGAGCAATAAGATGACAGTTGCTGGGAACAGAGTTTTTAAAATTTTCTCATTAATCACTAAGTATAAGTTTAACGCAACTACATTAATCTGTATTGATTAAAGTCATAAATGAAACTGTCTTACATAATTGAGATTAACTGCCAAGTTCAGAACAGTTCCTTAAAATACGGACTTTTAAATATAATTGTGATAAAAAGAAATTTGGTTTTATTTTTATAAATTAAAATATTTTTAAGAATAAATTCAGTACAATGAGTAAACACGTATAATTTACCTTAAAATTTTATATATTTAGTTTAAACTTAGATCATTTGTAATAAGAGAAATTAAAATCTTATCTAATAAAAATATTTTTGCATTTATTCAGAAATAAACTGGAAAATAAGGTAAAGTGTTAAAGTCAGAATGTTAATTTCAGACAATTTTATCAACAGACGGCTGATACCAAGAGCATAGATTTCGATCAAGGACGTTGGTAAACGAAGAAAAACACGTAAACGTCTTTCAATTGCCCTATTTTTATTTCTAATTTTAGATATTTAATCAAAATAATATTAATTAGATCATAATAATTTATACCGAAAACATATTCCGCGAACATTAACGCATTCAAAGTTACTAGAAATTCGATATCGATTATTATAAACTTAAAATATAAATTTAAGTGATCGAATATGCGAATATGAACTAAATTAACCGTATGAGTAATAATGTATTTAAAATTTTAAATGTTAATAATAATAATAAAATGCTTTAATTTGAGCATAAATCCACATCTGTCTCGTTTTCCGTATGTTCAATATGTAATAATTGAAAGTTCATGTACGGGGAAAATATATCAAAAAATTAATTAATATTAGAAAATGAAAGCGCTAAACATGAATTTTGAGGCCGAATGACTAAATTTAAAAAGTAATTCAGAATTGAAATAATGCGCTAAAAACAATTTTTGGAATTTAAAAAAATGCCAAAAACAGCATTAAAATAAAAATTAATTTCAGAATGCAAAATGACGCCAAAAATATATTTAAAAAAAGCGAATGTTTACAAATTTTTCCATTTATCCTTCCGGAAATGTATATGTTAGCATTCATACATGCTGGTGGCAAAAGTTAAGACGATAAGAACAGAAAAAAAAAGTACTCCACTTCACCTGTTCACGCATTAACCAGTTGACGATCACATGATACAAAAAGTTCGATCGTAGTCCAAAAGAAAGAAGATTTTGACGTAATAATGACGTCTCATTTCGAAATATTTACATTAAATTAATAGGAAGAAAAAATTTTTAGAAAGTTTATTTCGAAATATACAAATTCGAGACGTTTACATAAAGTCGATTTAGATACGACCTTTTAAGGTAAATAAGTAAAAATTAAAAGTTGTTGAATTACGGAACTGATACAGGAACAAAATTTTAGATAACCGTTACTAGATGCAAAGGCTTCTCCTCTCTTCTGTTTTTAATATAAATATATAGGGGAGCAGAGTAAGATATGTATTTACTCCATCTTTATTCTTTATTTTATCGTAAAAATAAAATAATATGTGTAAAAATGTTTTACAATTAAAAATTTTAAAAATTAAATTTTTCATCTTTTTATTTTCTCCGTAGTAATTACATAACAGTATTGTTTTCCCGGCAACTTTTGGTTGAGTTATTAAATTGTTTTCGTAAAATTTCAAAATATATAATTCCAGATAACTTTATTTTGACATCTGTATACACAGTCAAACCAGTTATTACATTATCAGTTTATGCGAATTCCGTGTTAATGCGATGATAATTGCAGTCCCGAAGAAGAGGGTAGGCATTTCGATGTTAAAACGTTCGGTCAATACAAAATCACTTAACATGTAATACGAAGCTTGCATGAATTCGATAACATTTATGTTACGTCGTTTACTACAAAGCACACTGCTTCCAGTTTCCTCGAAGTTACACGAGCCACACCATGACCAGGAAGGAGCACACGTTTTTTTCGATTTTAACGTTAGACACATTAACAATGTTCACTCCTGTCCACACTTCGATAAATAATACTTTCTTTTATAGTCGGCTGCTTGGTA